ATAATATAATATAATATAATATATCTTTTTCTTATGCTTTTAGTTTTTGCGCATGGTAGAAGCTTGTTCCAGTTTCCTTAAAGAAGCTTTACATCCAGAAAACTGTGTTGGGATTCTCAGGCTGGCTGATGCTCATTCCCTTGATAAACTGAAGGAGCAAGTTGAGAATTATATTGTCCAGAATTTTACACAAGTGCTGAATTATGATGAAGTTTGTGAGTTGCCTGCAGACATTTTGTGTTGCGTGCTAAAGAGTGATGACCTCTGTGTCACTGAAGAAGCTCAAGTATTTCAGATAGTTATGAAGTGGGTGCGTTACAAAATAGCGGACAGGCTCCCACTCCTACCGTATGTCCTCGAGACTGTCCGTTTGCCTCTTCTGGACCCTTGGTATTTTGTAGACGCTGTTGAAACAGATCCACTTATCAGGCAGTGTCCTGATGTCTTTCCTCTGCTTCAGGAAGCCAGAATGTACCATCTGTCAGGAAATGAGGTGAGTGAAAATGTGATAATATTAAGGGAACTACACTACAAAGATTATCCAAATCTGTTATTCAGCAGTCAACCTTCTGTGGTGAGAGAGTGTCTTGCTTCATGGAACTTTGATCTGTTCCATGGACAATGGCTTCATGGCCTTCAACAACCTTTTTGCTCTAAATCAGAGATATATTCTAAAAACTCATGTGGCTCCTGGAACACAAAATATTTTTGTGGCGTAAGCTTTTGTGGCCCCACAATTTTATATTTCCCCCTGTAACTGTGTAATAGTCCACAATAATCTGTTCTTAAATTGTCACAGGAATGTTTTATTATTGTTTACATTTCTACCTGAAAATTGTTATTAAATCTAGGTATGAGCAAATTTCATATCATCTCTCTGATGTATGATGTTTTTTAGCTTAGGATAATGGTGCCAGTGGAAAGGGTCAGGGTTACATGCGTCTCCCTAAAGACTTTGTTGTGGCCCCCAGAGCTTCTTCAAAAATTGCTACCAAATTATAATTATTATATATCATAAAGGGGAAATTGTAAGTAAATTAAATTTCGTTTTTGTCATGGCCCTGCCCAGTTACTGAGTTCAGCCACATGTGACCTCAGAATCAAATGTGGCTCCTAGTCCCTACACAGGTGTGCATCTGTGGCCTAAATACACATTTATAGGTAGGGAAGGTGGTTGCTGGTTGGTAGATTTTTATAATAATAATACTGACCTGGTTAATTTTGCTTTTGTTTAGATAATTTCAGGAAGAACAAAGCCCAGAATGCATGAATTCCAGTCTGAGGTCTTTATGATCATAGGTGGATGCACAAAGGATGAAAAATTTGTATCAGAAGTAACTTGCCTTGATCCTTTGAGACGCAGTCGTTTGGAAGTGGCAAAACTGCCAAACACAGAACAAGAATTAGAAAATGAAAATAAAAAATGGGTGGAGTTTGCTTGTGTGACATTAGGAAATGAAGTCTACATATCAGGTAAGGAATACAATAGCTGCTGCTGCTGCTGCTGCTGCTGCTCCTTCTTCTTCTCCTCCTCCTCCTCCTCCTCCCCCTCCGCCTCCCCCTCCTTCTT